GGCTTCATTTCCACTCACTAGTGAAATGTACGAGCTATCAATTGCCTTCAAAACAAATTTTAATGACGAAGCATTGTTGGGCATTAACGCTGAATTTTTACTTGCTATTGGTGTGCCGAGACTTTTAGACGTTTAAATAACTCCATACACCCCGATAAGCACACATTGGGGACAACCACAATTACAAGGCAATGTATCATTGCACTAGAGAAATTATAAATATATGATTCACATGCAATAATGTTTTCGTTCATAACGATAGATGAGGAGTATTGAATTTTATTTCTTAGTGGTGCACCAGTATTTTTGTACTTTTAACTAATCTCATCCTTCACGAAGAGCACATGTCTGTACCTCTATATTAACATATCTGTCTATATCTTTACTAGCGAAGTCCTAATTGGGAAGCATCGGTCAACATATGGGGTATTGGTGCGTTGGCGTTTTTAGAAATGTAACTGACTTGGTAACTCATGACACGCAATCGTGGGTAACTATTTGATATCAGTTGGACTTTTAGACAAAGACAAGCTGAGAGCAGCTCACCCGTCATCACACGCAACAAGCGTGAAAGGTTCTGGCAAGTGAGTCTCATTCGGCGAGACCTGAAAAACGAGCGGGCAACCTTGGAACAGGTCAAGCGGTTTGGTCGTGCCACGGTCGCCCTTTGACAACGGCTCGACGCACGGAAACCTCATTTTGCCGTCTCATAGAAATGACCATAACTATCTCTCCCTTCACAACCAAACGGCTGTCTATCTTTTTCATCATCGAAATGTGCAATGAAACATTCCAGGTTAAAATATGTGTAATGACTAATAAACTACTGATGAATAAAAGCGCTTGGTTTCGACGTGCTGCTACTGTGATAGGGATAAAAGTCGGCGGTCCGCTTCATTTTGACTTCGGCGAACACGTAGGTGCTATTGCGACTTTATGACTTGAAGTAGTAAAATCAGATCACCTCAATAGGTGGATCTCTGGTGTGGGGAAGGAATTATTATGAAGCATCTCTGTTAACGTGCCTACTCTACTGTTACCCTTAGCGATGAGGCAGAAGTAATGATGTGTGGTTCAGCAAGCGTAGAATGCCTTTTTAGTTTATACGTAAAGATCGGGTGAAAATTCGTGTGCTAGAGGATGAGGAGTGAAACAATGTGATGTGGCGGTACTGATGTTTAGCGACAAGATTTCCCTGTTTTCAAGCCAGCCAGGATACTTTTGAACCTAGTGACTGCTTCTGCCCACTCCGGGACCCACAGCTGTGTTTCCAGTTGGGACCTGAGCAATGTTGCCTCCCATTGCTGAAAGGTATTGGTATACGCAGTCTGAGAATTATAAGGTTTCTTTCTGTTTAGGGAAGCTATATAGGATATGGTAAAGCGTGGCGTGTTCTCTTTGGTAGTTAACTGCTGGAGCGAACCGAGAGCATAATGCTAGATAGAATTAAGAGGGTTCGTAAGGAATTGGTTGGTAGTCAGCGTCACACTTTTCTAAATATGCCGTGATTCTGCATGTTTTGTAATGATTCCTCCTGAATAAACCGTTGGCTATGTTGCCCGGACATCCCAGCTTGAAAGTGCGTTTTCAACAATTTTTAATGGCCGGGGTCACAAAAACTGAAATTTAATCGATATATTTTGAAACAAAAAACATATACACTCGGAAAAGACAAAAGAGAGAAAAGGAATAAAAAAAAACTCGAAAAGAAACAAAGAAGGCTTCCAAGCACCACAATATTTACACGCATGGCACTAGTTCAAAGCTTTCTGAAGTTTTTTAAGTTTCTCCTTATTTACTGCCAGTTAATGATAAACTTTCCCTCGCCATATACAGCTTCACTATAAGGTATCTTTAATGTTTCTTAATCGTCCCGTCACAGCTGACCTGCAGAAAGTCCTGAAGCGTCTTATCAGAAGAAAAATTTCGTCAACGAAAAACCCCGATTGTGCTCTTCCGTAGAATAATTTCCCTGTGTGGCCAACCTCGAGATTAGTAAGGAATGTAACAAAATTGATGGACGACAGGTGTGCCCTGCATGCGGATAGTTTTCCAACAAACTGTACTGTTTCAAGAGGCCCTGCATATGTCACACCGATGAAAGACCCAATTCGAATGAAGTGTGCGGACGCAGGTTTTCCAGTGGCCACCACTTCTCAACAATCTCAACGCCTATAGACACGTTGTGACACTTGCGAGCAATACGAGTTTCAATACAAGCATATAGACATGCCCTGCCGATTCAGGTGAAGACAAAACATCCAACAACATGTGAACTGTTTCAAAAAAGTAGCTCGGAAAGGGAATCTGAGAACGTCTCACAGTACTTGTGAACTTAGCCCCGCCGTGGTGGTCTAGTGGCTAAGGTACTCGGCTGCTGACCCGCAGGTCGCGGGTTCAATTCCCGGCTGCGGCGGCTGCATTTCCGATGGTGGCGGAATTGTTGTAGGCCCGTGTACTCAGATTTGGGTGCATGTTAAAGAACCCCAGGTGGTCAAAATTTCCGGAGCCCTCCGCTACGGCGTCTCTCATAATCAAATGGTGGTTTTGGGACGTTAAACCCCACAAATCATCATCATCGTACTTGTGAACTTAGGAATGCTTGAAAGTAGCGACATCCTGGAAGCAATTATAGACTCCTCTTACTCCTTAAGACTACAGCTGACGTACGGCCGAAAAAAATGAGGACCCCTTTTAATCTAAGAGATAAACTTCAAGGTCGGTCTTGCACAACAGTCTTTTTTCACATCTTCATCTTTCATAGTTGGATATTTTTATAACATCATGCGCGTCTGATGGGAACCATGCATTACTTGAATAATTTTCATCATTAACAGGCAATATTGTGAACCTCTTAACAGCTCTTCAGGCTATTGTGATTGCTGTGCAGATGATCAATCAGCACTCGTGGGTTTGTTCTTATCGCATGACATCGCTGTCAGTGTTTACACGCGAAAACATTCTGAAAGAACAGGATTGCGTGTATTTATATTTGTGATAAACTGCCAGCAGTTGTATGAAATCTTCTTTTAAAACGCCTTAATTAAAACGATTGTTTCTGAACATCGAATCTAAAAAAATCATGAATATTTCAAAACTTAAAAATTTGCGCTTGCTTTCAGTTGTACAGTAAGCATCGTGTTTCTACCGCTGAAAAAGTAACTATAAGATAAAAAACATATATATGCAGTTAAATACGAGGATAAAAATGAGTTCTACGATAGACAGGCCAGCAATGCAACCTCACCAGACAATTCTGTTTAATAATAAACAGCTGATTCCTCGATCTTTGAAAAATACAAGTGTCATGCTTAATCTGAGTCAGCCTTAAGCTCCTACGAAGCGCTTTTATGATCAGTCTAGACTAAAATGCAAGAAATGCGTGAAAACATACTCCTTGTTTTTGTGAGAGCGTTGCTTGAAAACTGTGTTGCAATATTACGATTGAATGGAATATCTGTCCATTGATTTGGCGTTCACAATACCGAAACTATGGAGGTGGTGGACTGGGGCTGAAGTCAGTGCCAAAATCGTGGCGCGAAGCCTGAAAGAAGTGCAAAACAGGGAGGCTACCTTTGCTTCTTTTTTTCGTAGGTAGCACATGTCTGAATTCCGTCTCCTCGACAAATCCGTTTCTTTTTCCCCATGAAATTCTCCCTATATTCTTCTATCTCTCCTATATCCGTTCTCTCACTCATCGGAGATGCCAATTACAACCTGGTGGTTTAGCAGTTATGATGCTCCAGTGCTCAGACCCACTGGTCACGGGATCGAATCCCACCCTCGGCGGCCGCATCTTCGGTAGCGCTGAATTTATGCTCGACACCCGCATACTTCGACGTAGGTGCGCGTTAAAGAATCTCAGGTGGTGGAAATTTCTGCAGCTCTTCACAGTGGCATCTCCCATAATGACGTCATTGTTTCCGGACGTTCAATCCGCCCGATTATTACTTCATTACATACCTAACCAAGGGACCACGGGTTCTGTAAACGAAACAGAGCACGAATATAGCTCATGCGCGTTCATGACGACAACAATTTTTCTTTGCTGGACTACAACCATCAGCTCGTGTAAACAGCCCGGCTGTTAAAAAAAGTGTTGAAGTATAACAGGCTCTAACACCTCAAGGTAGAAGCCCTGCAGCGCCTTTGGGAACATGTTAAATTATAGAATAAGTGATTCTTCTATTTCAAGAACATGACGAGCTGGCGTGTGAAGGACATGCACTCAATGACTTTGGCATTCTTAGTGGAGTGTACTGATTCCTCTACCCCTCTCAGGAAGCTTGATGCATCTCATTTGCTGTTGGGCTTCCACCGGTTTGTGCCCAACTTCGCTCAAATGGATGCTTTCAGCTAAATAAACAAACAGTTGGAAATCGTTACATTCAACCGGAACGTGTGCAACTGGGTATGAACGAGGTTCGAACGTCGCAACGCTGCCATCTTGCAACAACACTACTAGCAAAGATGTGGAAGTAAGCGTAGTTAACAAAACAACATTTCGGTAAATATTCGTTACTGATTGCGATGGCAATAAGCGGCAGGAAGACACTCTGGTATTTGTCAACGCAAGTGAGAATGTGAATATGCTTGATATAGCAGCATCCAGGCAGCCAAGATTATCACACTTTGTGATAAATGTACAGAGCCCCAAGTGGCTATTTTATTATACACGGTGCGCGCAAGGACGCGCATGCGCTGTGTCACGTGCCGATGCTATGCCTTATACTTTATGGCACAGCGCGGAGAGCTGCCCTCATCGTCGGTTGATGGCTGTGCGCGCTTTTTTCACCGGGCTAAGCGCCCGTCAGGTTCCTACGTAAAACAAGGGACATGGCCGAAGAAGGACAACTGCCACAATACTTTACGATTGGTATCGGCAGCGTCTCATAAAAACATACCGGGAAGACACGTCCCAAGTCATAGCCAGGTGAGATTCTTGTCGAACACTTATGCATACACCCCGACTTGCCCATTTAGACCAAAGAACATGGCCCATGAAAGACAACTACCTCGACATAGCACGATTGGTGGTGCAAGCTACACGGCGCATCAGGAAATGCGACAAGCAAGCTCGACTCAAGAAAATTCCAGGTGAGCTCTTATAGAATACTCTTGTGAATTCGTGTAGTCCGAATTACGGCACGTAAATGACTGAATGCCTTGGCCTCTATTTCTTTGCGTGGATGTGACAGTTCCTATTCTTGGCATAAGTTGTCTTCTCAGGGCTACGATGTGTTGCGCAGAATGACTGCATTTTATCCTATTTTGTATAGTCACTACTTGTGTGCAAACGAATAAATGGCAGCTTCCGCCATGTTGATACAATGGTCATGGTGCTTGGAGTGCGACAGAAAAACCATGTGTTCGATTGCGGCAATGCTGGTCGCATTTCAATGGACGCAAAAGGCTAGGGGCCAGAGCAATATTTGATGAAATTGCACGCCAGAACCAGATAGTGAAAATTTCCGTAGAATTTCACTAAGGCCATATGATCGTATCACAGTTTTGGCAAGTCACTCGCTAGATATGCAAATTATTATTCAATGGTAGTAAGATGATGTTGCACCTTACATGTAGTCTTCTCAAAAAAGCCTACACAGATAGGCTGATGAATAGTGAGTCAAGCGCACGAGGATGCTTTTGCCAGCACTGCGCTTCCGAATGCCCCACACAGGCTGGCGTGAAACGTGCTTGCGCAAAATCAAAATCCGATTGCATCGCTGTGGGTTCAGATTGTGTTATTTAATGAAGTCTGCCACCACAGTACCGGCTTGTTGCAATAAGCATCGTATTTTTCCGTTAAACATTTACGCATGCTCGAGAAATCGCGATTGCTACCGTTTTTTTGCTCTACTTAAGTCAGAAAACGTATAATAATCCATGAAGATTCTGCAGAAATAAATATTGAAGCTAATCGCGCACAGTAAGCACAAAGTGTATCGATGATACGGATTTGGCTCTGAAGCGTCTAAGGCAAACAGAAGCGGCCGATAGTCGCGTAAGCCTTCACCTGCACTGTGCCAACAATCTCTTGCAAAGTGGACCTACGATGTAGTATACGCAATATGTGGTCATTTTTTTTGTGGCATGGTGTTGTATACTTCAGTCAGCACAGTCAAATGTGGTCAGAAGCAGATAGACTGTTGCGTAGGTCGTCAGCTGACTGCAGTGCCACAGCACAACCGAGTACAAGCAACGGAGCAGTTTGGCAGCAGAGCGTGGTGTGGGGGCCGAGTAACTTTTCTGCATTTGATTGAAAGAAACCACATGTGTGACAGGTATCGCATACAGATCAGTGATTCTTCAGGCTATTCCTCTTTCTCACATATTCTGCAGTGTTAGAAGAAAAGAAGCCATTTTGGGAATAATAAGTTATTGCTCAATTGTGCTTCATAATTGTCATGGACCTCTTCCCAGGTTGATTCACATATCTTTAAGTAAAGAACAAAATGAAGAGAGAAAAAAGTTAAACCTAAGGTCTTGTTTTCATTCGCCACAATAATGATGTGGACTAACAAAATGGAGAGGAAAAGATCAACAAAGAGAATGTAGGAAGAGGGCACATGCCCGGTTTGCTACCCTACGCTGGGTGAATGGGAAAGGGAGTACAAAAATGAGAGAGAGAAAAAGAGAAGAGAAAGAGGCAAAAAAAAAGGATTGTCAGTCAATGGGCCGACGCGTATGCAGTGGTGGCACTACACAAATAGTTAAAGGTACTCACATAGGCCTGTAGTCGTCAAAAAGCATAAGACGACTTTGACTGCATTTTGAGATGACGAAAGACGAGGACGGTGTTCCAGTAGCATCTGCATACAGAGTGGCCGACCGACCAGTTGTCGCAATGCGCCAGAAAGCTTCTGTCCTTCAGAAGCGAATTGAGGGCAACGGCATAGCAGATAGCAATGTCTTCTTTGGTGGCGCAGACGTCGCATTCCGCGTTGTCGGTCAATGCAATGAGGGTTTTATGTGTTTTTGTGAAGGCAACCCCCAACCAAAGACAACAAAGATCGAAGCTTGACGTAGACGAAGTTCGGATAGAGGTCGAAGTTCGGATAGAGGTCCAGTCAAGAATTTATTTGGTAGAGTCTCGTATGTCTTATGCTTGGGGTGTTCCACTCCAGCTGACACAGAATACGTGCCAGGTGGCGAAGTTGCGTGCTTGACGAAGGATTCGGAAGGGTGTGCTCTTCTTGGCGGGATGTGCGAGCCGCGTTGTCTGCGCAATCATTGCCACTGATCCCACAATGACCAGGTAGCCACTAATAATTGACTTCGTGGACTGTTTCAGTGACGTGGTGAACAAGCTTGACAACCTCACATGTTAACTGTTTGTGGCAACCTCGTTGAATGACTGACTGTAGGGATGGTTTCATGTAAGAAAACACAGACCAATTACTCTGTCTCTCGGATTGGATGTACTCTAGGGCGACACGTAAAGCCGCAAGTTATGTCACCGTAGACGTAGTGACGTGTGACAGCTTGATTCGCAGAGTGATTCCTCTAACTGAAATCACCACCGCACCGCCAGAACCAGACGCTGTGGTTGAACCATCGGTGTATATGTGCACGTGGTGATTGTATATTTCGTGCAAGAGGTGCAAGCTTAATTCTTTTAGGGCTGATGAAAGCGAATTTGATTGTTTTTTTGTATTCCTGCATCTAAAGACGTACTTGTGAAAGTGTCGGGCACCACGAAGGATACACCAATTGTTCCGCAGGCGTAAAACCTGATGTAAACGAATCACAATGCGCATAGACAATTGCACTGAATTTCATGCGGGGCCACTCAGCAGCGAAGGTTGCTAAGTGGTGGGAAGGATTCCGATTGTGTTGCCTGAAGTACGTACGCGTCGTTTCAATGGTGATGTGCGTCACGATCGAGTAGTCCTGTGCAATGGCAAGGGTTTGAGCCGTCGAGGCACAACGTGGTAAATACCCTAAGAGAGTGGGCTTGAATATTTTGGAGTGTGAGGAGGTTAGTTTTGAAAGTGTTAGATATAACAGGCAGGCTGTATCGCAGGAATCCAATAAATAATATCTTGTACAGCTGTAACATAGACTCGCTAGACACTCCGAGACTTCTTCTTGCAAGGAACATGAACAAGTGACAAATGGTGGTCAGCCGCTTTTTCACGTAGTGTACGTGTGGGGTTTTAGGCAGGTTTCCCTATTATGACTCTCAAAAACCTGTGACTCCGGCTGCGTGACACCAATTGCCCGTTAATTGATATGCTGTAGGCGGACATTGGCCTTCTGGCGAAAGCCACGACTGTTCGCTTTCTACTTACGATTACGAGCCCTTGTTTACGTAGGTGGTGCGATGTCACTGATGCTACCTTCTGAAGTCGAGCGCGAAGTTGAACTCAAGTCACACCTGGTGTCTGCGCACAGATGTCATCTGCATAAATGGAAAGTCGTACGCTGCCTGGCTGCTTGCCAACTAGTCCAAATAATGTTAGGTTGAACAATGTCTGGTTTAGCCCTCCGCCTTACGGGACTCCTCAGCTACAGTGATACTCGGGTGTCGGGCCATTCTCTGTCTGCACGTGAACATACCTATTCTGTAGGTAGCTCTGAACAAACGTATATATCTTACCACGGAGTCCTACTCCTTTTAATTTGCTGAGAATGGCTTCGTGGATGACATTGTGGTAAGCCATTTAACGTCAAGAAACAGAGTAGCACATCACCGTTTGCAGGCCTTCTGGTGCTCTACATATGTAACCAAGCCAACTATATTGTCAATTGATGAGCAGCCTCGTCTGAGGCTGCTCATCAGACATGTCATCTGTATATTGTCATATACAGACATGTCATTATCAGACATATACAGACATGTCATCTGTATATTGTCACGGGGTCGTGACGTGGCCGAAGACAGGAGACTTCGTGTTGGGATTTAACTGTTTATTTGGGCGAACCTGTGCCCGGTAAACGGAAAGTCCAATTACAGCAGCAGTCTCACACCGATAGCAGTCTCGGACTGATAGCGGCGAACGGAGCGTCGGCCTTCGATCAACAACAGACAAGCGGCGAAGCGCGTCGGCATTTATACTCTTGCAGTCGAATGTTCTAGCGTTATCGCTGGTGGTGGCGTAGCTTCCAGAACAATCTGTACCCTTCGCACATTGGGCGTGATCTTATCGAAATGATATACTACAGTCCGGAACCTTCTCGAAAACTGCAGGCGCGGTTTGCGCTGAGAATCGTGTGGTGTTTTGGGACGATAACAAAAACTTGGGAAATGGAACGTGGCATGGCTCCCCTCTGAAAAAAGGCATCGTCCCGATGCTTTAACTAAAGATGAAGGTACAATAATAATGCAAGAAAGTACAATGAATAAATTACGATACAACAATAATACAAAAAAAACATTGTTAACCCGCATGAAACGGCTTGAGGTGCGCGACATGGACGACTTCAGGTCGCGATCGACGTCGTTGAGAGTTCGTGATGCCGTCGGGAAAAACATCCTAATCAAGTGGGCCGAGACGTCGAACCACCCTGTACAGTCCGAAGTACCGTTGCAGAAGCTTTTCACTTAGTCCACGCGCGTCGGCGTATCGGTGTCCACACCCAAACACGTTCACCGGGCTGGTATTCCACGAAGCGTCGTCGAAGGTTGTAACGGTGGCTGTCGGTCGTCTGTTGATTCTTGATACGGAGACGCGCAAGTTGTTGGGCTTCTTCGGCGCGTTGAAGGTACTCGCTCACATCGAGGTTTTCTTCGTCGGTGACGTTGGGTAACATGGCATCGAGCGTCGTTGCCGGGCTCCTTCCGTAGACCAATTTGTATGGAGATATCTGCGTCGTCTCCTGCACCGCCGTGTTATATGCGAAGGTCACATACGGAAGAATGGCGTCCCATGTCTTGTGTTCTTCATCGACGTACATTGACAGCATGTCGGCGATTGTTTTGTTAAGCCGCTCGGTGAGGCCGTTGGTCTGTGGGTGGTACGCTGTCGTCCGGCGGTGGTTTGTTTGGCTGTATGCCAAGATGACTTGAGTTAAGTCGGCAGTGAAGGCCGTTCCTCTGTCGGTGATAAGGACCTCCGGGGCGCCGTGACGTAGGACGATATTTTCGACAAAGA